CACTTTGATTTACATCAATCCTTTATATATGAGCAAAGAAACCCACCAAAAAAATTAAAAACTCTCTTAACCATTAAAACCAAAACTACGGGGTGCTCTGACATCAAAGGCTAGCTATTGACCTTAACATGCACTGGGTAACAAGTTCCAAGTGAAGACATGAGCTGAAACTGGCTTGAGGCTCTCTCTTCTCTGCCCGCATATATAATGACAGGGGCTTAAATTTCTCCAGCAAAAAGAAGTCACTGAAGTAAAGCATGGCAATTTTTAATTTCCCATGTACTCGACACCAGAAAGAGAGAGGCTGCTGCAGCACTGTGTACTAAATCCTTTTCTGTTGTTTAATTCTGAAGAAGAAACTTGAAACAACTCCCTCCAGAACACTGAAATCTTATCAGATTAAATGCAAAAGGAGCACAGGTTTAAAAAACTTTTTAATTTCTGTTTGATCAGCATTCCAAAACAATTCAAATATGTTCAATTTACTGTTAAAAAAAAAAAAGGCAAGTGTTTCAGAAATTTAATGCCAAGTTTAACCTATTTCACTAGACAGGACAAGCACACCAATTTGATGGCATAAAGTTGTTCTTTTTTTAAAAAACAACACACATCCCTCAAACTATTAACCTTTCATGCCAGAAATGTGCTTTTTAGCTACGTTTGATTATGGACAGTACATTAATCCATCCAGCAGAAGTAACATCTGGACAGAGGTCAGGTAAACTCTATGCTTTCTCATAATGGCGAACAGCAACCACATCACCGAAAGTGAGAGTCTGCAAGTCCAAGGAAAAGACAGACACGTTAGATGTGGACCATTTTCTGTAATAACACATATTAAGAAGTCAATTTTAGATCAGGGTTGGTTTACATTATCTTATTTATAGAAACACAGATTGGTCTAGGTTATTGATATTTTAAATGAAAAACAGGCAAAACCTTCATTATGGTTCCCATCATAAACATAACTTTCTCATTGCTATTTTTAATTCCAGGAAGCCCATAATGCACATTTACAAGGCAACTAAAAAGGCTGTTCAATTTTTCTAATTTTCATGAATGTAGTTTCTTAAATATAGCATTGTTTTAATACAGACTTAACACTTGTTTTCTGAAAGCTGATCACACTGCAAGATGTGCTATCTAAAACTCCAAGTCCTCTACATCTATATTCTATACTATTTTGCGTAGGCATATAATTAAGAAGAGCCTGGTATTACAATACATGTATTCTGTGCACTTATGTAGCTAGAACTACCAAGTGTTTCAGTTGCTGCTGCTGTGTAACTATAGTAAATACAGTAACTACAATGTGTGATTTTGGAGGTATTTCCGGAAGTGGAAGAATGAATCTCACTGTGTTCAAATTCTGAAGGAAGAAAGTTTTCTGTATATGCATGCAGCTGTTTCCAAAAACAAAGCATGTATTTTTCCTTAAACTGTTTGTCACAGTGTTGCACTGACAGTATGCTTTAAGCTTTTAATCATTTGGAAATCTCAATCCATACAGATACTCTCTGAAGTATTTAGAAAACAAGCTAACTGGCTGTCTCCAACAGCAAAGTCGAATAGGTCAGTATAGCTGAAGGAGTTTTATTTTTGAAAGTGCCCAAAATAAGCATGAGAAGTACCACCCTGAACAGTAAGATAATAACTTACACCAGGTATTCACCCCATACTGCTGTTTCTGAAAAGTTGGGAAACGAACATAAATTTAAGCCAAGACTGTTTTTTCCACAGAATTGTTTTTTTATTGTAGTTTTTAACGAGGGTGCTTGATGCTTATGTTTTTAGCAAGAGTGCTAAATGCTGTTAACTTCTGCAATATTGTAGTTTTATTTTCCTAGAGAAACATTTGTTCTGTGTAATTAAATATTATTTATGTGTGCATATATAAACCAAATTTTTAAAGAACTTAAATTAATACTAGCAACTGATCACTGCCTATGTTATCGAGAACTTTGTATCTTTTTCAGCTCACCAGGACTTTTTTTTCCTTTTGCTGGGCATTTACGCAATTTCTAGGAAGAACGTATACACTCTGGAAGTCCAGAGGGTGGCCTGCCTACAACCTCTAGCCATGCTTTAGCTGTCAGTAAAACAAGATAGCAAACAAAACAAATATTTGAAAAAAATCTCTGCTAGCTTTTCGTACCAATTGGTTTAAGGATTTGTGAAAGTAACACTACCTGTTCATAAAGCTCAAGATAAATATAAGTGAGAAGTGTTAGCAGTGTATGTGAATGATCAGTGAGCTTTATACTTACCATTACCATTTTGCCATCCTTGATTTCTCTTACAAAGTTTGTCTCTTTGCCGTCCCACTTCTGTATATGCACTAGCTTGTTGCCATCCAGGGTCACAACTGACTGTGAGATAGCAAGAGACACAAAGGCATTCATTTGTTTGGGGTATTTGGGATTCTGCTTACACATTCAGCTCGCACTATTTTATTGAATTCTCTCCAATAGATGGATGTGGATCTAGAATGATAAAGTAGTCCCAGCCATTTTAAAGCCCATGAATCATCCTCATTTTAAGCATGAGCTCCATACAATTCTCGTTTGTGTCAAAGGATGAAAAAAGTTGTTTCCTTTTCATTCTAGCCTCACAAGAACCACTGTTTCAGCTTGTGCTTTGGGATAACATTTATGTTAAGCACCCAGAGATGCTGGGAAGAAGGCATTTCCCCATTTTGCCTGGGAAAAAGTTATGCCAAATGGTATTTGGATTGAAAGAAAAGCAGGCAGCTAACACAGTTGGAGGCTGGAAGGTAGGCAGGGGGATAACCCATTGTTTCAGACAAGGAATAGTGTGAGCAGGCAAGTAAGATGCAACCTTGTCTTTTATTTCCCTGTCCTTCAGTGCTACAACTGGCAGTAACACAGTTACATTTTTTTCCTTTGACCCTTCCAAAGATACAGCCGCGGGGGCGGGGAGAAGAAAATGAGGCCTTTGCAACCCTAGAGTTCACTTACTTTGCAGTTTCTGTCATCGGGGGTAGTTTCATCAAATTCTTCTCCAAGTTTAAAGCTGATTTCTGTGTTTTTGAAAGTGCTTTGAGTCCTGATCACTACTTTGTCCCCCTCAGTGCTGATAATCACAGTGGGTTTAGTCATATTCCCCACCTGCCGTGTTGCAAAACTCACTCCTAGACCATCGAGGGGAAAAAAGAGAAGTCCATCAGACATTGGGGTTTTTTTACATCTTTTCTGCTACACATTGAGGTACAGAAATCTCTTCCCTTGCTCTACAGCTTTAAGCTACCACGGTGAAAAGCTACTTTCTGCTTCGCTTATGCCCTTACCTAAAGTATCCACAGATTCTCCTCTATACACAGAAAGCTGTAGCTCTGAGCCCTCCCTCATCTCTAAGGGCCCTGACAAGGAACCAGAGCAGTGGCACGGCCTGCCAGAGCTCGGAGCGGGCGGCAATCACTTCTCTCTTCTGCTTCTCAGGATTTCGGTTCCTTAGCATTCCTTGTAACGATTTCTTGTTTGGTTGCTTGTTTCCAGCTTACCTGCAGGCAGCATTTGCCCTTCTTGCAGACGCTGTCCCTAACCGGGGGACATCTCCCGCCGTCTTCCCCGCGGCAGTGGGGCTCTCACGCACGCACACACACCCCGGACGGATGACCCGGATCGATGTAACCCCACTGACAAGGACACAGCCGCCCATACCCCCTCGCCCCTGCTAGCGCCTTACCTACACCTCTGGCAGCTGGGGGATTTTTTTAATTATTATTTTAGGGTTCTTAGGGCGGTGTAAAATTCCAGGTCTCCTGAACGTGCCGCTGCCGCCCGGCCGTACCTACCCAGCGCCTTCATGTACTCGTCGAAGTTCTGGCTGTCCACCAGCTTCCAGGTGCCGCAGAAAGCCTCTGCCATGGCGGCGGCCGCCTGCGAGAGCGACAGCGGGAGCGACAGGTGGCGAGGAGCGCCGCGGCCGCCGCTCCGCTCCGCATTTAAAGCCAGCGCCCGGCGGGGGGCCGGGAGGCGGAGGGCAGCTGCGGCCCGCCCAGCTAGCTCGCAAGGGCGCTCTTCCTCCTCGCCGGGGCAGGGGCGCGGCACACGGCGGGACACTGAGGGGCACTCCGCCGCGGCACACGGCGGGACACTGAGGGGCAGAGGGTGGTGGGTTACCTCCGCCGAGGGCACCATTCCTTGCTAGAGCCGCCCACCGGGTAGCCAGCACCCGCCTGCGTTGTGGTGTCCCTGATAAAGTGACGCGGACAAAAAGAGAAGGCACCAAACGCGAAATATTCTACTGAATAAAAATATAGGATAGCAGAGCTACTGCAGGACAGCTTTCCTGAAAGCTTTCCCGTGAGATTTTCAAGCCCAGTTTGGTGTTGGCCAGGTAGAGACCACTTTCCCCCTCCATCTCATGGCATCCATAGGGATTTCGGATGAAACTGGCATTTGCTGTTGTTGGCTGGAAACAGTACCTTGCCTCCACAGCTGGTGGCATTTGGAGACTAAGAATGAAGAACGAAGGAAAAGAACCTAAAACTGTTTCATCTATTATGGGATTTGTGTGTGTGTGTTAGAGAGGGAATGTTTTTCTTCTTATAACTGTTCTCTGAATTTTGCCTCAAGTTCTGGTTAGTCATCTTGCCTCCTGAGTGTTTTTCAGAAAGCAACCTTTCTCTCTGTGGGATGCGCCATGGTGTCAGCTTTTCCAGATCTATGGCTTGGACGGATTTCAGAGTCATGAATCTAGCTCTTCAGCTCATAACAAAACTCAGGGACTATGTGGAACAGACTTTCTGTGATTTAGGAACAAAACCCCAGTAATTTTCTACCTGGCTCAGCCATACAAAATATAAATAATTATTAATACTTCCCTGCTATTTTTAAATTTGGTTTTAACTGTCATTTGCCATTTTCAGGCTCTCGTAGTATAGCATGTTCCCTGGGTCTAGAACAAGTGATGCTGCTGATTGGATTTTAATTTAATTTGCCATTTTTCCCTTTGAAAGATTTAACCCCTTTCTGAATTAACTCCAGGAATATATAATTGTACCACAATTTACCACACAACACAATTTTCATTATCCTTGATAACCTCAGGGTATGAACCAGTGTGTCTATTTCTCTTTAACCTTCCATTTACTTACTTTGAAGTGCAGTGAGAGACAAACTGCCCTCCTCCAGCTGCTCAGTTTATGTCCAAATTTCTCTTCTGACCTGCAGTTCTGATACTTGCCAGCTCGTGCTCAGAAAGCCAGGGAGAGTAGAGCATCACTTGAAGTAACAGACCACCAAGTGTTGTTCATGAGGCTGAAAGAAATCAAGTCCCTTTTCTCAGACAAAGTTGAATGATGCCGTATCTCCAAAGTCTGCACAGTATACCAGCCTTACTGGTGCATCTCATACAGATGTCCACTAACCTGATGTCCATGGTCAGTCAAACACACTATAATGAATAAGGAATATGCTTTGTGATTGGCACTGTCATGGCATGGGGCATTTAGGATTGATATTCCGCATTTTGGGAAGTGTTTCCTCAATACAGTAATACTATCAAGTATTTAGTAGTGTTCACCACCCATAGCCTAATTCTCTCTGCAGCCGTGGTCTCATAGAGATTCATTGCTGGCACCCAGGCAGCTGATATGGAAGCAAGTACAAACTGACCTCACCACTCATCTGACACTACTTTATCTGACATGAACCGTATTAAATCCTAAATGATTTTACCAATATTCTCATGAACTGACAGTGTCTCCTCTCCCAGTACTGACAAAATGGAGTTTTCTGCTCATATAGCTCTGTCTGCAGAAGCCCTAGCGCCTCTACTGTTCCTTCTGGCGCAACATGTGTGAACAAAGCCCTGGGAGAGCTCCTTGCTCTCTGTGCTCACTGGGGCTTGTTGTGTAGAACCAGCCTCACAGATTTTGTGCCTTATAAAACTGAAAGTGATTCAGTGCCCCTGCTGGTAGCTGGACTCCTGAAAGACATTTCTGCCTTGCACCTTCTTCCAGACAGCACTACAGCCTGGCCCTTGGGAAGTAGCCACTTCAGGATCTTTCACAATTTAAGCAATCATACTTACACCAATGTCTCTTTCCTACCAGGATATCTCAACATACTTAGCTAAGACAAGCAGCTAGTCTTAAGAAAGCTGTATTCTTCAACACTTTGCACCACGCTTCAGATGTAAAATAGGGTCTGCTAAAATATTCACATTCCTTCTGCTACTTAGATAGATTGCCGAAGTCATCACACCAGGTTTTATGGTGGTGAGATTCCACCTGTTAGTGATGATTTGGGAGCAGGATAAATCAACAGTAGGAAATGCTACATTATTGACACCTTGTGGGGTGACAAGCCACAGCCAAAAATGTTTTCCATGGCATCTTATGCCCTATATTTGCTTGTGGATGCTTATGTGAGAGTTGTGTGTCAACTGCTAGTATAAGTTATCCTGATCTATGTAAATGCTTTGCTATGTCTGGAATGGAGATCACAGTGTGGAATACACTGACCTGGTGTGCATTTAAGAGACCAGCTTGGAGTTTCTCTTATGATGAGTTTGAAGGTATTAACAGACTGTGTGCTCCCCTGTGAAAAGCCTGTGTGATGAGATGTCTCTGTAGATTCCTCTCTGAACGCTCAGAGAGACTCATTCTCCTTTACCAAACTTCTTAAACCTGAGCAGTGTAAGTAGGCACATTTGCATTGTCTGCACAAGGCCTGCTTGAAAGATGGAAGCGCTGTGGCAAGACATCCCTGTGTAATAAGTAATCCTTTCTCAGAAGGCCATCCAGGGTGAATATTGGACTGCTCTAACCTTCAGCCTTTGAATACAGGGCACAAAACCTGTTTTTGCCTACCTTTCTCCCCTGTTATAGCCCTGCTTCACATGCCCTCAGGCATTTGAGTGTCTTGGCCTCATTCAGCCTTCATTGAGTCCTTGAAAAAAATATTCACTTGATCAAAGAAAAATATAGGAGGGGGGAACACTACACGATGGGCACCAGGCTCCTGTGGTAGAAAAGTCTGATCAAGAGGTTTTCTCCTGTGTCGATTTCTCATAATTAATGTCAGGAACTGCTGAGCATTTCATCACAGTCAGTAAGGGCTTAGTAATATGGTTATTTAAATATAGTGAATTGATGCAGCTAATGATGTTTGAAGTCAGGTTTATCTATCCTTCTGTGGTGTCCCTCTGTGGATCTAACTCAGGAGGGGCACTCTTGCTACACCAACTCAGCTGAACCTATCCTTTCACCATCCTCGCAGTATAATAGACAGTATTAACATATTACTCTGTAAATTTTCATCAGTAGTTAAGGGGATGCTATATTATAATTTAGTGATACCTGCATTATTCAAGCATTTCTATGTTCAAGCAATGATGACCCTGAACTTCTGGGCATCTTGTACCCATGTGTGCCACAAAGGATAGCAGTGACACCAAGGCCTAAGTACCCTGGTATAGAACCAGATGTAGGCACTCAGAGGCCTTTTAGATATTGAATCCTACTGAAAGCCAACATGATTCTGGGTCCTAACTCTCATAGTAATTTTGGTAATCTCCAAGCTTTCTGAAACATATAGGGGGCTACTTAGGAATTAAGGAAATTGAAAAAAATGTGTAGGTGAAAGTAGAAGAGATTTCCTCCATTTATAGGCAGTGGACTAGGGTATTATTGGCACATTGGAACTTTTTTTGAAGCCCTGCTGTGAAACTCTGCACAGCTTTGATCTCAGCGTAGTGCAGAAATGACCAGATTTTAGTAGCTATTGTGTCAGACGGGATGATGTTGCTTCAGGGCTGAGTGTGATTGGATTTTTTGGTGCTGCAGAAAAACCTAATATCAAGCAGGGGAATAGAAGGTCTTTAACTAAAGTTATCTCTTGTGTCCTTTAGCTGTCTAAGAGATTTGCTGATCCTCCTAATAAAAAGAAACTATCTCAGTGCTGTTGGCGATTCACAGAAAATCACTAGTTTACTCTATTGATGGGCAGCTCTTCAGAAATCCCAGTTTAAACAAAAGACTTAAATAGCTTATGGAGAAGGCACCCAATTATGCAGCTGCACAAGAAAGTGGTCACAGAATGGCCTCAGCTACAAAGCAGATGTATGAATCCAGTTTTGTGCTGCATAAATGCTATGGGAAGGGCTTTTGGAAAGACCAGGTGATAGGCAAGGTGCAAGATACCCATGCAAGGTGCACGTCTACGGGGGTATGATATAATAGGCATCACAAAAACATGGTGGGATGGCTCCTATGACTGGAGTGTTGGAATGGAAGGTTACAGGCTTTTTAGGAAAGAAAGGCCTGGCAGGTGGGGAGGGGGAGTTGCCCTTTATGTTAGGGATAGGCTGGAGAGTATGGAACTCTGTCTGGGGACAGGTGAGCAGTCCACAGAGAGTTTGTGGGGCAGAGTTAAAGGGAATATAGCTATGGGAGACATTACTGTGGGGATCTGTTACAGACCATCTGATCAAGAAGAACCTGCGGATGAAGCACTCCATAGACAGATAGGAAAAGCCTCATGCTCTCAGGCCATTGTTCTCATGGGTGACTTCAACCACCCTGACATCTGTTGGAAGGACGGTACGGCCCGGCACAAGCAATCCAGGAGGTTCCTCGATTGTGTAGAAGACAACTTCTTTCTGCAAGTAATAGAGGAGCCGACAAGGAGAGGTGCCGTGCTTGACCTCGTGCTCACCAACAGGGAAGGGCTCATTGGAAATGTGACGCTCCAGGGCAGTCTTAGATGCAGCGATCATGAGATGCTCGAATTTGAGATCCTCAGGACAGTGAGAAGAGCATGCAGCAAGCTCACTGCCCTGGACTTCAAAAGAGCAGACTTTGGCCTCTTCAGGAACCTGCTTCGGAGGGTTCCATGGGTGTCCTGGGTTCAGCAGTAGCAGTCATGTTTCTCCTCCTTGGTAGCTGGTGCAGTGCAGTGTTTTGACTTTCGGCTCGGGAACAGAGCTGATAGAGATGTTTTGGTTTGGCCAAGGACTTTGTGAGCCTCGTGCTCTGCCAGGGAGGAGGGGAAGCCAGGAGGAAGCAGAGACAGGACACCTGACCCAAACTGACCAAAGAGGTATTCCATACCACAGCACGTCATGCCCAGGATGTAACTGGGAGTTAGCCGGAAGGGCTGGGAGACTGCAGGGTTGGAGGAGGTATCGGTCGGAGCTTGGTCGGGCTTGGGGGGCGAGTTATCGGTCAGCGGGTGGTGAGGTGTTGTATTCTGTTCCCTTGTTATTTCCTTTATCATTATTATCATTGGTGGTAGCAGTAGTGATTTGTGTTATACCTTAGTTACTAAACTGTTCTTATCTCAACCCGTGGGAGTTGCATTCTTTTGATTCTCCTCTCCGTCCCTCCGAGAGCAGGGGGAGGGCAAGAAAGGGGGGGAAGTGAGCGAACGAATTACCTGACTGGGTTTAAACCACGACAATGGGACACAGCCCTAGAGGGCAGAGGGGCCCAAGACTGTTGGTTGATATTCAAGGATCACCTGCTGCAAGCTCAGGAGTGTTGCATCCCAACCAGAAGGAAGTGCAGCAGGAGGGCCAGGAGACCTCCTTGGATGGATAAGGAGATCCTGAGGAAAATTCAATTGAAAAAAGAGGCTTATAATAAGTGGAAGCAAGGACAGGCAGCATGGGAAGAGTACAGGGATGTTGTGCAGGAAGCTAGGGACCAGGTTAGGAAAGCTAAGGCCCAGTTAGAATTAAACTTAGCTAGAGGTATTAAAGATAACAGGAAGGGATTCTACAAGTACATAGCAAATAAAAAACAGACTAGGGAGAATGTAGGCCCCCTCAGGAAGCTCTCAGGAGAACTGGCTACACAGGATTCAGAGAAGGCTGAGGTTCTGAATGACTTCTTTGCCTCGGTCTTCACTGGCAAAGGCTCTGACCAAGCCACACAAGTCTTGGAAAGAAGATGCAGGGACTGTGAGAATGAAGACCTTGCGCCCACTGTAGGAGAGGAGCTGGTTCGAGACCATCTTAAAAATCTGAAAGTGCACAAGTCCATGGGTCCTGATGAGATCCATCCGCGTGTCCTGAAGGAGCTGGCAAATGAAGTTGCTAAGCCACTGGCCATCAGATTTGAAAAATCATGGCAGTCAGGTGAAGTTCCCGATGACTGGAAAAAGGGAAATATAACCCCCATTTCCAAGAAGGGGAAAATGGATGACCCGGGGAATTACAGACCAGTCAGTCTCACCTCTGTGTCTGGCAAAATCCTGGAGCAGATTCTCCTGGAAGGCATGCTAAGGCACATGAAAATCAACAAGGTGCTTGGTGACAGCCAGCATGGCTTCACTAAGGGGAAATCCTGCCTGACCAATTTGGTGGCCTTCTATGATGGGGCTGCAGAACTGATGGACAGGGGTAGAGCAGTTGATGTCATCTACCTGGACTTGTGCAAAGCGTTCGACACTGTTCCACACGACATCCTTGTCTCTAAATTGGAGCAACATCAATTTGATGGATGGATCACTCGGTGGATAAAGAACTGGCTGGATGGCTGCACACAGAGAGTTGTGGTCAATGGCTCAACGTCCGGCTGGAGACCAGTAACGAGTGGTGTCCCTCAGGGATCGGTGTTGGGACCGGTCTTGTTTAACACCTTTGTCACTGACACGGACAGTGGGATTGAGTGCACCCTCAGCAAGTTTGCCGATGACACCAAGCTGTGTGGTTCAGTTGATACGCTGAAGGGAAGGAATGCCATCCAGAGGGACCTTGACACACTTGTGAGGTGGGCTGATGCCAACCTCATGAAGTTTAACCATGCCAAGTGCAAGGTCCTACACCTGGGTCAGAGCAATCCCAGGCACAGCTACAGGTTGGGTGGAGAAGAGATTCAGAGCAGCCCTGCAGAGAAGGACTTGGGGGTGTTGGTTGATGAGAAAATGAACATGGGCCGGCAGTGTGTGCTTGCAGCCCAGAAAGCCAACCATATCCTGGGCTGCATCAAAAGGAGCGTGACCAGCAGGTCGAAGGAGGTGATCCTGCCCCTCTACTCTGCTCTTATGAGACTTCACCTGGAGTATTGTGTGCAGTTCTGGTGTCCTCAACATAAAAAGTACATGGAACTGTTGGAACAAGTCCAGAGAAGGGCCACGAGGATGATCAGGGACTGGAGCACCTCCCATATGAAGACAGGCTGAGGAAGTTGGGGCTGTTCAGCCTGGACAAGAGAAGGCTGCGTGGAGACCTCATAGCAGCCTTCCAGTATCTGAAGGGGGCCTATAGGGATGCTGGAGAGGGACTCTTCATTAGAGACTGTAGTGATAGGACAAGGGGTAATGGGTTAAAACTTAAACAGGGGAAGTTTAGATTGGATATAAGAAGGAAATTCTTTCCTGTTAGGGTGCTGTGGCACTGGAATGGGTTGTCCAGGGAGGTTGTGAATGCTCCATCCCTGGCAGTGTTCAAGACCAGGTTGGATGAGGCCTTGGGTGATATGATTTAGTGTAAGGTGTCCCTGCCCATGGCAGGGGGGTTGGAACTTGATGATCTTAAGGTCCTTTCCAATCCTAACTATTCTATGATTCTATGATTCTATAATGGAGTCAGGAGCAGGGAAGATGTGTTTGTACCGTATCCCTTCTAGGAGTGCGGCATACCTTAGGCAAAGCTTAGGAGCATGTCACTGTAAAAGCTCAACCAAAATAATTCCAGGACAGACTAACATTAGAGTAAGAGTCATGTTACGGTCCAATTCTGGTGGGTTTTGCTAATTGGTGAAAACGAAGTGCTCTGTGATCATGCATTTCGTTCTTGCAGGCTCTTTCTTACGTTACAAATTGGTGCGACATGAGATTAGCAGAGTCCTGGAAAGTAAATACCCACTAATACCTCATTATGAACTATTAGACATTTATTCGGATTGGTTTAAGCTGAGAGGACGGCTGGTTGACAATGGTTTAAAGAAGGAAACAAATACTGCCAAATATCTCCAGGGTCTTCTCTGCTTCTTACATGCATTTAGAGGGGTGTTATCTGCTGTCTAATATTACAATAGCTATCATCTAGAGGACTCAAGTAGGAGGCTCTCCTCAATTAGCCTCCACTAAAGCCAGCTACCTTCCTGGCTTAGAGTTCTATTTATTGAAGATGCAGTTATTTTAACTTTGTGCCATTAGGCCTTTGTTATTTTAATATTTGTCTTTGCTTTCTTTTGTGTTTAAGAGTAGAAAAAATCCTCTACAATGTAACAGAAATGTCTGATACTGGGTGTCACTTACAATAGCTGTCTAGTTACTGTAAAATCAATACACAAAATCAGCTGTCCAGAATTACAATTTCAGCATGGCCAAATGCAAGGAAGAAATAAATACAGTTTTACAAATGAGCAACTGATTATTTCAGGGGTAAATAAGGTTAAAATAATCCTTAGGTGCATGAATGGAAAATATCACATAGGTTTAAAGAGATTAGGTGACTTGCATTTGACTTGTTGCAACTGATTCTGGAAGACTTGTGTAGATTTTGTGTTCAGAGCAGCCCAGTGAAAATATTAGTGGAGCAGAAACACACCCTGTATCAAGGTCCAAAGATTCCGTACTGTAACAAACCTAGGGAATGAGTTTTATTAAAAGCGATACAAATTTTGTGGTATTAAAAGCACAGGTAATGTCTAAACGTCATAGTCTGTAGTCCTAGTTTACACCTTGAAGGTTGTGTAACACTTAATAAGTGCGACTATTTGGAATTCAGTATAATCAACCTCAAGCTAAATCCTTGCAGGGTAACAAAAGACAACTTTGCAGGACTGGATTTAAGAAACTTTTGGAATAGCACAATATACCTGAGTTCTGTTTGCCCATACTGAAGCACTCCATTTGCTGTGATATCCTGAAATCATTCTCAACACCATCTGAAATTTAGACAAAAAATAAAGTCAGCCTTAATTGACTGAAATGCAAATTTAAGAAAATAACCACTAAGTTTGGAGAACAGATGTAAAGCAGTAACTGAGGTCATTAGCTACCTGTATTTAGATATTGCCTGGGTCCTCCTCTGTTCCACTCAGCTATGGACTAACAGGAGAGAGTCAAGGCGTGCTGGAGCCAGAAGTGATCCCTCAGATGCAGCTGGAGACACACTCCTGGGTTTGTCTCTTCTAAATTGGAATCTCTCAGCCAAAGCAAGCCATTTCCTCCAAAGTTCTAAACTAGCAGTGGGTTACAGGGAGCGTTAATGCACCCCTGAAAAATGTCTGAATTCCACAATTTTGATAAATAACTTAACTATGTTATCAATTTATGGGCCTGTTGATGGAAAAAAAAGCCTGACATCAGACAGAGGTGCTTCTGAAATGAAACCTCATGCTGGATGACCTAGGCAGAATTACACATCTAACTTGCTTCATTCAAGAGTGCAATTATATCCCTGCTTTTTCATACTGGTTTGTGACCAAGTGTTATGTCATTTCTGAGTTTGAATCAGTCTAAATATTAAACTTCCCGGAACACGAAACTCTAGAGTAATTTGAAGCATTACAGGGTTATGATAGCTCATTACTAGCCTTAAAGAGGGACCTAGTACCAAGACGATCTTGGAGAAAATTTCAGTCATCCTGCTTTTTGCAGACTATCCTAGAGAAACAGAATAGAGTGGTCTCCAATCCGGTATACAAAACTCCAGTCACTGGAAATTAAGCCTAGAGAAATTTATATTAAAAATGAAGTACATATTAGCTGTGATGAGACTTTGCCCCTTGACCAGCTTTCAAAATGCCTTATTAGACTTTTCATCCCTGCAAGTTGTAAGCTTTGTTAACAACTACAGCTATTAGACATGATGCAGGAAGTAATTCAGAGAAGTTCCATATCCTAGATTATGCAAGGAGTCACATGATATGGTCACAATGGGCAAGTCTAAACCAGGAAACTTTAGAACATACCCCACTTGCTATGAGTATGTTTGTCCTTTGCCAAAACAAAGTCTATCATGGGAAAAGATACAGATATACACAGAAAGTAAAATACGTGTGTAGTCCCTGCCTGGATAATCAATGATCTCACTTTCTGGACTATACCGCAGCAAGTGCCATTGCGGAAGTACAGACACATCCACTATTCCTTTAATTCTACACATCCATGCGTACATTTTGAAAGATCTCCCCCTCAGTGTGTCAGTCATAAACATAACCCAGACCCTCTATGGATCACAAAGTCTGTAACTAATCCTGTAATAGTTAAACAAGGCTTCTAATAGCGTCTTCCTCCAGACCTTTGAAACTTTCTTGAGCACTGCAGCCACAGCTCAGAACATCCATAGTCCAGAGCCAGTGGAGGGTGCAGAAGCAGGCTGACTCACACAACAGGCTCAGCTGTTCTGCTAAAGGAAAGGCTACGGAGAGGAAACACGGCACAACTTTCATGCCTTTAACTCCATCTCACTGTCCTTTGTCTCCCCCCCCCCCCCCCCAAGTATACTTCTTCTTACATTTTATTTTATCCTTTATAAATTTAACTAAAAGTTTCCACTCATAACAGCCAAGTTTAACATCATCAGGAAAAAAAGATGCAAAGTCAAGAGTTCAAAGGCTGTCTGAAAGAACATGTCTGAAACTTATTTCAGCACTTTCTTACATCGCAACACCATCCCTATTTGCATAATCACAAGCTATTTTTGTTCTAGAGAAGCTTTCTCTCAGTGCTCAAGACAAAGACTATTCAGGGACAAGCTCAAGGGTCTTTAATGCGTCTGTCTGATACATAAGATCTCAGTCTCCCACCAGGACTTGCTGGGAGGAATAGCAATGAGTTGTCCTACCATCTCATTTTACCAAATATGGAGGCAAATAAAGAGATTAGTTTCTTATATTGGCTGTTTGAAGCAATAACAGTTGATTTTGGGCATAAATCAGGAGGTGTAAGTGAGCCAAGCAAGGGGTGAGCAGCACTGAGTAGGTGAATGTGAGCTTTGCATGGAGCTAGATGAGAAATTCAGAGTGCTGGAAGGAATGGTATTATTGAGCAATTAAAGTAGAAGATAGGTACTAAATTGGTGGGAGGAACAAGAAGGTTGAAAACGTGTAGCTGTTCCGCGGATGCATGCATGGCAGTTTTACGCTTAAAGGGTGCTTTTCGTCTGTGACGCACAGGATAACGTGGCTCAGCCCCTGCTCTCTGTTGTCTGCTGGATGTGGCTTAGGCGACTGCTAGGCAGAACGCACCTACTGGTGCACTGGGCAGCTGCGGACAGGTGCCTGCCAAGTCTCGGGGGTGCTGCTGGGGAATGGCCGTCCAGGAGTGACAGCTGTGCTGGAGAGTCAGAATTCAAATAAGCTGCTTGTTTAGGTGACCAGATGGACAGTGTAGCAGGCACCTCTGAGGGAAGTTCACCTGCCCTCCACCCGCTCCTGCAGATCAGTAGGAGCTGGCTGTGGTGGGGAAAGAGGGCGGCACAGTTCAGCCCGGTTTCCCCCAAGCGTTTGGAGACCGCGCAGGGCCTTCTAGCGTCTCTGAGCCGCTTGTGGAGCAGGGGGCTGGGGCAGCTCCATGGGCAGCGCCGAGGCGGGAGCGGCCTGACGCCGCCTCTGCAGTCGAGCCTTGCCGGAGCGAGCGGGGGCGCCCTCTGCCGGCACCGCTCGGCACCTGCGGGGAGACCCATCTTCCGCCCTACCGGCGCTGGGCGGCCGGGCGGTACCACAGCTCCCCTTCTCCTTCCCGTGACGGTTCATTCCGACTGCCATGCCCGAGGCGCTGCGAGCACCGGGACTGAAAAGCTGAGGGGAAGAGAAAAGCACTCAGGTGCCTGGCGCGGGCTCGGGCGCCATCTTGTGCGCACCGGGCGTGAAGTGTCCGGCTGCCTGTCTGACGGCTGCGGAGCCCTCGGGGGAAAGGTGCTCCTGTGCCTTCAGGAAATTACGTGGTTGATCAGGAAACCATTTCTCGAATACTGCTGGGGCTTAATAGCAGTTTACATGCTGCTTCTTTTTGTTTACACTGCTGATGTGTCATTTACAAACGTGCCTAAGGGATCTGGAAAAAATTAAAATAAATGGGAAGGTTAATCCAGGCTCCCACAGATTAGTTTTTCTATACATTGTATGATAAACACTGGATTTACAGCATCAGTCACTGCACAGCAGAGTTCCAGAAGTAAAGCAGCTGTAAGGATTGTCCATATCCTCACATAAGGACCCTTTACATTATAGGTAATTGCTGAATATATGTTTAATCCAGAAAGGCCCAGAGCACTCAGGCTTTGTATCAAGAACCAAAAAAAAAAGCCAAACTATTTTCCATCAAGTGTTAAGGCTTTAATTAGAATCTAGAGGTCTGGCTTTAGGACATGACACAGAGCAATGGCCTTCAGGCCTCCTTTTGCTCCAGGCCATCTTGCAATATGAACTGTTCCACACTGGTCTGAACAGGAGAATAAACCAATAATGAAACACTCTCATCATTTATTGCTAATTACTGTCAGAAGCAGAACAGCTTCAGGTGTGGAAGATGAAACTGAGTTCTCCCTAAAAAATGTCAAAACCAGTCATCTGGTATTGGCACTCTAGCCCAGATTGTAGAGGGGGCATCTAAAGCTGCATAGGCTGCAAGCCAGATTTAGACACCTGTTTTGTGACAGAGCTTCCAGATTGAAAATGCTTTTGGCTACTTCACTCTTTGGTGCCCAAGCCTCACATCTTTCCTTTGCCCATGTAGTGTTAACGAGTTTCCACCAAGAAGTCTGGTCCTCTAAACGAGGCGATGTGCTCCTCCAGACTGGTGAGGAGGTAAGCTCCAAGACACAGCAGGAAGGAGCACCACGTACCTACCCCACAGGCAGTCCTGTGGGGTGAGGAAGCTTCAGCCAGCGTTGGATTCCCAAACTGACTTAAGCCGTTGGAGCAGCGTTCCCAGCAATGTAAGACGTCTCCTGTTTGCCATCATTCAACTTTCTGAGTACGCAGAGACACCAAGGTACTGAACCCTTGCTGAAATCCTTGAAATTAACATACAGATTAGCTGGAGACAGCCTACCTCTCACCAGGCCATCTCCCAACATCTTCGCTCTTTTGCTCTAAAGCAGATGCCTCCCAGCTGGTTTTGAGGTCTCATAAACTCTCTCCCTCCACTTACTTGCACAAACTACCTGATAAGCTAAAATCCCACTAGATGGCACAACAGTTTAAACCCTTTATTACTATCCAAACCACTTCAGAGCAAGTGCCCTGGGACCCGCCCCCCCCCCCACCACGTAGGATCTGGGGTTTATGCTCACCGAGCACAGCAAATACAGCCTGTGCTAATCCAGTGGAGAAATCCATGCAGAAATGTCCGTTCAGTTCCTTTTGATGGGCTTTATCACACATAAAGCACCACCAGCAGGCAGGAAAGACGAATATGAACTAGTCCTAAATAATTTTCTAAACCTTGTTTCCTCTTTCTATGTGTGATACATAAAGGATACTTGGAACACTGACGGTAAAGTGTAGTTTAAACAACTTCTAGTCACTGCTGTGCTGTCATTTTTAACCAATGCAAACACAGTTATATTATTTTGTACGATCACTACTGTATGAAAGCTGCACAACACAGAAGTGGCCACTGTGGGTCAAATTGTGGGTTCATATAACTAAATACGATGTCTTGGACAGTGCAAACATGTATGATGTTTCCCTTGATGTTGCCCTATTGTTCTTCAATAGGGCAAACATATATGACTAGCTCTCTTGCAGCCAAACATTTGTGTTCCTGGACTTTCTGAGTTGGGAGAAATTTTCTGTATGATTAGTAACTCGTAACTTTAAACTAAAGTTAGATACAATTCACACTGTATTTAGTATAAAATCAGTCTTTGTCTTCAATGACAACTGAGTCTGCCCTGTACATTGCTGTACTGTCAATGATTTGGAAATTTCTGTTAAAATATACCACTTTGCAAACTGCTTTGTCACTTATTTTATCCATCCAAGCTCAGCCTATGCAGTATTATACCAGAATGACTGTATATAGCACAGGTGGAAATAGCTGTATGAGGAATCATAGCAAATGAGCTTAATTTAAAAAAATGCTTAATTACGTCTCTTAATCTCTCTAAATGAGAACATTCTAATGATCAGTCCCCTACCTTGAAAACTATTTCGTCCTTTATTGCCTTCCAGATAACAAATTGAATTTTCCTGGGTTATAGCAACAAAAGCTGCACCTCAGCATGTTAATCTACTTCTTAACATGAGGCTTCTGATGAAGGGCTGACACAAAGAAAATTACCTTCCTAATAACGTGGAAAAGATTGAGGCCAATTTTCTGTATATTCAAAGTACCTAAATTGTTTTGTATATGCACAGTGAAGTTACAAGTGTATTTCATGGCTTTTTTTTTTTTTTTTAAATGCAGAGTGGCTAATAATGAATAATTGCTTCATTAAGTTCTAAAATTTGAAGACAACAAAGTTACCTTTTTTTTTTTTGCTTGGTACTGAAAATGAATTTCTTTGCTCTATAAAAGCCCAGGATAGTGCTGCAAAGTGGTGAAAACGATACTATTACCTGTGCCATACTTGCTGGAATGGAAATTGGGATTAATGCATTATAATACTGGATTAGCCTTAATAGAAGTTTGCTGCTGTAATTTATCAAGGTAATTAGGTATGTACCTAATTTTAGGCACTAAGAAGTTCTGTTGACTTCTATGACACGTATGCATTTAAAGTTAAGCATGTTTTAAAATACTCTGCTGATTCAGGGCCATAACTTTGTTACCCTGTGGATTAGGAGAATGCCCTGTCATCAGTTACCCTTAGCTGAGCTAATGGGAGGGTGGTATAGTCTGGATAATGGTTCAGACTGGATAAACAGGCTCAGTGAGAAATATACTCAGAAGCACTTCATTTGCTCTTTACAGGCTTAAAGTGTAGTGGGACTATCACCTATCTTCAAGGTATTAACAAGAAAATGAACCAGAGCTTTCCCAACCTTAGCTGTGCTTGAGTTAGCCCTGCCTAAACCCCAGACTACTTGACAGCATGGTATAGAGACCCCCACATAGCAATAAAAGGGCTAGCTCCCCATTCGGCTGAGTCAAGCATAATATAGAACTAATAAATTCTTCTGGACCAAAGTTTATATGGCACAATCTCTCTCGCACCAGCAAGTGTTTATACTGGTCAGAAATACACAGCTGGTTCAGAACCATTAAGTTATGTTTGACAAAATTCAGGGCATAACTAGATATTCCTCTCCTATATCTGAACTTACTACAGAAAAACACTCTCATGCAGCCTAAACTAATAATTATTTAGACACAGACTGTACCTTCATGTGGCAGAGAAATATTTCTGCATCTGTACTGGTTAATCTGCAACCAGATAATACACAGACAAATGAGGACTGTATAATATGTGACCCATGTATTAGAGATCAGAAATGTTCATCCCACTTTTAATTGAGTTTCATTTTAAATCTTCTGGTTAATCTTTACTTCATATGAGGTTTTTCTAATTTTCTGTGAAAATCCTTCATTCTACACAGCATTTTCTCAATGACAGATTCATATAGCTCAAGTACAAAGTAAGCACCAATTTCCCAGAGTACTGAGCACTCTGACTAGTTCTAAGCTGTATGTCTGTCTGTGAGCAGTTAACTACATGTATGTAGACAGCTGTGGAATGATTTTTGTGTAGAAGTTAGCACATGAATAATTTGCTAAATTCAGCTGGTTCGTAATTGGCATCTTAATAGTAAAAAACTTGAAAGCATCTTAGGCTAACAAAATACTTTAAGTATCTATTCCTGTAACCCAAATTTCAGTGACTGTAAAAAAAAAATCTAAATATATCCAATACTGCAATTATGGAAGAAAATTCAATATAGGCCGTGACCCAGAAGAGCACTTTAGCATATGCTCCACTTAAAGTGTATAAAGAATTCTGTTTCAGTAATACTCAGCTACTTGAGTTCCATGGGATCATTTTAACTTCTTAAAATTGAACAATTTTATGTACCGTGATGCTATAAAGAAAGCTGGTACATGAAAATGGGACTGCAACTCAGAACAAGAGAATGTACCACAAATATAGTTAGCTCTGAGTCCCTCTCCATTTCAGTTTTCAGCTCTGGTCTGCCAGTTTCAGCTAGTTCAGTCACTCAGACTTTCTTAAGCCACCTGTTTCATTCCAGTGGAGTAGGTTATTTTACCTTTCCAAACCTGCAAGTGATTCTGGGATGTTGCACTTGTAAAAGGAATACAAGTAAGTGGAGGGAACTACGTGTGAATTCAGTTGGATGAAACTGAATCCTTTACTGAATGGTCCCCCGAAGACAGAAGTGCGTGAGTAGATAAACGCACAGCAGGAATGGTAGGTGTGTAGAGAGACCTCTTAAAAGCTCTCTGCCAGCTATCAAATACACAAATATTTTAGAGGTGGTATACCGGTCAAATGTGGAATGTACTCAGAGATGCTTCCTCCATCTGGCTGCAGCCCAGCAGAGAGATTGTGTGGGCACATTAAAGCATTTGATTGTCATTGTTGGTTAGGTTTCAAGAAGTACATAAATGGCTGCTGCCCTAGGCTGCAGTAAAAGGTGCATGTCTGTACCTTAGATCGAGAAACTTAGGTCCCCTACAATAAGGGAATGAATGCTAAGTATTTTCAGGAGCATGACTTCCATAACAAAACAATTCCTTTCAGCAGAGAAAAAAAAATAAATAGAAATATCTTTATTGTCAGCAAACCATTAAAGCAAAAGCCATATGAAATAAAAGAAATACGTATTGTGGGGTTTTAAGTCTTGTCATACAGAAGAAACATCAGGGAATCAAGAGAAGACAGAAAATATCATAACTATTTAATTTCCACAGTGAGATTAAACAATTTTAATCACTTACAAACATGACTACTTTATTTTAGATACACATGAACAGCTACAATATTCAGCCTAAAATCAGAAATGACAGAAGTGTCAAGACTGCTAAGAGCAGGAGAACTGAGATGACTTGCTATAATCAAATAAAATTTAAAGAGAGTTAGAAAGCAAACACTGATGTTGAAGTAGTTTACCAAACCTTTTGGAGACATGAGGAAGAGAGAAAAAAAAAAGTCTCTTTTTTTATTTCTCACACCCATCTACATGTGCCTAATGAGAACAAAAATCTCAGGAGATAAATTACAGATAATATCTGAAATCTAATATATACTTAATGTCACCTTAAGGTGGGGAGAGTGAATATACCTCTGTGTCAGAGAGAAAGAAGCTCTTTTGGGAAATTAAGAGACAGGATTTTTATTTTGGAGCAATCATTAGTTGGTGGTACATCTACTAGGTACATTAATTGAAACTGTCAAAGAAGATTAGTTAGGATGAGTACTATAACCATGAGAAAACCCAAAACAAGAGATACGTTCTTTAGTTTTCTTCCCATTTGGATGTGAAGAACATTTGTTTTGAAGAATGACTGTATAAAAAACAGTAGCTCCACATTAATGTCACCTAGGTACAAGTGTGCTGCAAAATCTCGTCTGTGCTGCTAAAGTTGCTACCACACTTCAGAAGGGGTGTCATGGGGAAACTGGAAAGTCTGTCAATTGGCTTCATTAATCCAGCAGTCCTTAGGTGTTAGGAATCGCTGCTTTTTCCTTCCGCCTCTTGACTTTCCAGCAAGGCTTTGGATGATGACACTTCTCCACCCTCTGCTCCTTCATCTAAAAAAAAGACAGAATTAAATGTTTATACCACACACATTCTCACAGCTATTTTAATGCAGCCAAATATCTGCATTATTCACTGATCATCTCTGTTTGGATTGGCTTATTATTACCACACTCATGATGCTTTAGAAACAGATTAACTCAACAGATAAAAAACTTGTGGAGGCATTTTCCAAAAGCAGTTGCCTGTTGGTGTTGATTTGCCTGCTCTTTACACACACTGATCAATGTGCATTTGATTGTAAGATGGGAGATAACGTTTTATTATTGTTATTCTTTTTTCTGGGTCATTTCCAAAGTCAAGTTAGAATACTGCATTCCTCTGAGCATTGCTTGGTTTCAGGTAGATAACATCACAGTTTATAAACATGCCAGCTATCTGGCTGACCTTCATTTCCAAGAAATACCCAGGAGAATTCACCCTGTCTTCCCAAGATGAGGGAATTTTTTTTAAGTCTCATTTGGAAGTTCACTCTTCCATACATTAGAGTTGTATGCTTACATGACTAATAGAAGTAAAAGCTCTCCAGTGTATATGGTCACTTCATGGAGTTAAACATCATCACTTTTGATGCTCAAATTCTCTCACTAAGAAACAGGAACACCTCTTGCACTGATTTCCTTGCAAAGCATAATAATTTTCCAGACAGCCTACAGCTTTTGGGGCAAGGAGAAGTCTGCTCAGCATGTCTGTCTGAATTATCTTCAGTGTTAATACATATAATCTAAGAGGGTATATTTTCAGCTATTTGCCTTGGAGACTTTGCATAAAGTATCACAAACAGACAAAAAGGTTATATATCTTGTCTGTACATATCACAGCAAATATATAATGCTGTACTCAATTCATCAGCTAAAGCTCTTAGCAGAAACCACTTGATGGAGCAAGTCTGCTCAGAGGTTTGGAGGCTTCGGAGTTTTATACTGGTAAATTAAAAATTGAGTTACTTTGACACTCTTCCACATTACATAGTACAGTACTGTTGAGGAAAGGGAGACAGAACAGTCTCCTCTATTGGCCGTTTCTGTGTGAGGCTGGATGCTTAATATTAGTGCAGTATAGACCAGTACAGCTTATTTGCTCTCAAACTTCTTACAGGCTCCTCTTCACCCTTTTGATCATCAGTGACACCAATCAACCGTTTAACATGGTTCCACCTGTGGCTTCTCACCAGACCACCTGTGGAACCTCCAAACCTTATGCACCATCAGAGATTGATCAGGCTGGATACAGATCGTTTTCATTTCAGAGTTAGGCTCTGAGATAAACAGCTGGTGCCAAAATCTTTCCTGTTCATCTCATGAGAACATTAAGTTGATGCAGCTTGCAGAGTACATGGAAATTTATACCACACAGCTATGAGCTTTGTATATGCATAAAGAATAAAGCAAAGTCTCTTTTCTAAGCCAGACAAAAGGTATTAGCACATCCTGTTCCTGACCTTTCCCTATGACAGCAGCTGACAGCATTTTAGAAAGAGGGGAAATATATGATCCAATGAGCATTAGCTAAATTTGAAGCAAGATGGAGAGAGTTCTCCTCACCATTTTCCATAATCTTCACCGAATCTTTCGGAGTTAAAAAAAAAAAAAAAAAAAAAAATAGGGCATATATTATATAGCCACATGTTTCATCTTCTCCACTTTTCTCATTTATCCAGCTTCTTTGTTCTGAGCTAGAAATAGCTTTCATTTTTTTAACAACTTATTCTTAAAGCCAGAATCAACCAAAAAGAGATGTCTGTTAGAGCCCCAAATGTTTCACATTTTCCCTGTCACAGCATTTGAACTTCCAAACTTTCTTTCCATTTTAATGAATTCTCACTCCTTGCTGTCTCATCAGTAGTTTAACTTACAACACAGCAAGGCTGTAATTCCCATCTGAGACACCTGGAATTCCTAATTCCAAAAAGCATTCTAGTAGTCAGAGTGGACCTAAGTGTCTCCTGTATTCACTTCCTATTATCAATACCACAAACTGCTCATAACAGAAACCACTCTTTCAGGGCACACTCTGGCACAGCTACATGTCAGTGACAAAAGCAAAGCATAATTCCATTCTCTTAACTGTTCTTCAAATCCTGGCCATGCTGGTCCTTGTATTTGTAAGAAAGCATCAGTACATTTTGCTGTAACTAATGTAGCTGAGTTTCATTTCTTCTTAGTGCATTGTATGGGCATTAGAAAATGAGGATTATTCTGTCTGGATGGCTAAGTACTTATTTTATGCTTTGCTATTTAAAATTTCTGTAACAAGACTTTCACTCTTTCATGTTTATTTTTATCCAGGGGAAAAAAAAAAAAAAGAGAAATTTTGCACGCTTTAAAAAGTATATTTTTTTCAACTACTAAACGTTCTAGATGCCAAGATGAAGCAAACATGAAGATCTTATCTACAGCTCTTTGCTTAACATGGGTAACACTGTGTATCTCCCTCAAGGTTCACTGCTATTAACAATACACATAACGCGGCAATGAATATTTCAGTGGGTTGGACCAGTCACTTCACTTCCATAGCTCCTGGCACTAATAACAATGTAAGTTCTCATCTACCTCCCCTTTGATAAGGGAAACAGTTGTCTCCTGCTGGAGTTTGACTGTGCCAGGCAGAAGAGCTATTTGGAATAAAAAGAACACCATAATATTTGAAAACCAAAGCAGTAAATATTAAGTGACTCTGTACTTTAGAATGGATTTCCAGTGCTCCAGTTGCATACACCAGGAGAAAAATCTGTATGGACATACTTCTCATATTCCTAGGGAAAAAGCTCTGCTCGAAACAAAGGAGTTTTAACTGGACTCACAGGGCTCCTAGCTTTACTTTAAATGTACTCTGACAATCATGCCTGCCATCCTTCCTGCCTGCTCTTTCAGATTATCCCAGTTCCTCTCAGTAACGTACTGCAGCCTGAGGGTATCTGACTATGTGGTCTTTCCTTTTTTTTTGCTTTATGTCTACCCTCTATCCTTCATAAATCTTTGCAAATTGTTTTGCAAAAGTAGTGTCTGCTTCCAGCATCCATTGAGATTCTTGTTTTCCCCTCTTCCCAGGTTCAAGCCTGGAGGTTGTCATTCTCTCAGTTCTCACTTCTCCTAGTAATGTTGTTTCTACCTGCCAAGCAGTCATCTAGTAGGCCCATGTTGGGTTTAAATTACAGAACCCCCAATTAAATAAACATAAATTAAATCACCAAAGCAAGAACAACTTTAAATCAAACGAATTCCCTGCCCCTCAGCCTTTATGGTGCTTCATGAGGCTGTAAAATCAACATCCTGTAGCTGCTTTGGGCAACATACAAGTAGGACACACATCCTTGGAGCCTGGGAATCCCTCTTATAATTTATTTCAGATTCATGGGCCATCCACTACGCTGCGCCTGGATGTGGGCCCACCAGTTGTGGTGGCATTTGTCACAGAAGCAAGAGCAATGGGCATGAGAGGAAAAAGTTACTTCCAAATTAGAACCTAGAAAAGTAGGAGCAACACATGCTCAGGGCAAACCTTACAATTCTCACTTCATAGGCATTAGAAACCAGATTTTCCTGAATCTGAAAATCCCCCTGAAATCCTACCTGAAAGTAAAAAGTAAATCTGGTGTTGATTAGACTTGTGCTAAATCCAAAACACCTTATCAAATTAAAAGATATGGCAAAATAAGACACTGGTCTCAGACAGCAAAGTTTAAAGCCTACCAGCAGGAGTAAATTACTGTAAAAACTACTCTTAATGTGTATGCTTGAGTTAGGATAGCTGTAACTGGATTAACAGCACAGTTTGCTGTCTTGTGCTAAGTTGTCTCAGCGCAGGAGTAGACTCTATAGCTGGAGCAGTGTGTTTTTAAGCCGCCCAGCAATGCAACTGTGTTTGCTCTTCCTCAGGGGAACTGGAATTCAGTTCCCAGCACCTTTCCCCAGGCTGCTGAACACTGAATCTGTAGGTGGATATGGCAGACTTAGTCTGGGTTAAAATTAACTTGTCTCATCAGGAGGCACAAGTGGCAACTGTTTGTTGAAGGTTGAATTTAATCCTAAATGAAAAAAGAAACATTAGTATTGACATCAAAACTGCAAAGTGGCAGAAGTCTTGAGAAGAAAGCAAAGGATGACTGCATAAAAATGTCAGTTTCTTGAATGTGCAGCCATTACCTTCTGAAACAGAGAGCTCAGCCAGTTTGTGTGGCAGGTCTGAAGTCCCAGCAGCAGCAGGAGAGCCCAGAATATCTGGTAAGGCGTTCCGGCGGCCTGCCCGTCCTGATGCTGCAAAATCTGTGACCACAGGCTCCACATCAGTCATTGCTGACTCCTTTCCTCATAGCAACATCTGCATATGCAACAAACATAAGAAGAAAACAGCTGTAGTCTGGATGGATTCTAATCACCTGCTCAATAATACAATAGTCTTTGCCCAGTGAGTCTTTTGTTATTAAAAGCTGTACATTACAATACTGAGTGCTTAAGCTTTTTTTGTGCCCCAGAAGAAGGTAAAAGAATCTGCACGGTGCCACTTGCACATCAGATAAGCGCAATAACAGCTCTACACCTACAAGAAACCTTGTGGATAGGGTCAGCAACAGCTGTTTCTGCCAGCCACTTGTATGTCTTCTTATGGCCTGATCCCTCTTTTTAAGTGGTTTTGTCATATAGCCACTTGGAAGGGAGCTGCAACTCTATTTTGTCATACTGTCTCTGTGAAGCAAAGCATGTTTTCTTTATTATGAAACATGTTTAGATTCTTGTTTAGAATATTGCTTTAACAAACTCCTTTCACAAAAGGCCAAATTATATAAAAAACCCCAAAACTCTCAAAAACCAAAATAAAACTTCATAAAATTTCTTCATCCTGCAGATATCAAACCATTTGTTTTCCTCTGCTCCTTGTTAGCTTAGTTCAGCTTGTGCATGTGACTTTTATATAATAAATAACTGAATCCTGAAATAATAGAACCAACAGCGCTCTGCTTCCTCAGTCTCTGTCTCAAAGCCCACTGAACTAAATGGGAGAACTCCTGCAGACCAAAATGGACTATGGACGAGGCACAGAGGTGTTTGCAGGATCACACCCCAGAGAATCAGTTTAAGTGAGAACACCTGAAGCCAAAGGTGATGATGCTTACCTGCAAGTGGCACACAAGGATAGTGTGTGAAAACTGCCATTAGCAACTGTATTAAGAATCACAAGACTGTCATACCAGAATTGTACACAGCAATATCTGATAATTAAGGGCATAATTTCTCATAATTAAGCATGATTCACTGAATTAAAAACAGTATTTATGTGCTCTATACGAATACAGTTTTGTGTGCAGTGTGGGAATAGGAATATTGTCTGTGTGTAAATACGGTCAGTGCTTTGTGTGGGAAGGGATACAGATGTGGCCAGAAACCAATCCAATGGAAGGCTGTCAACTTTTGGTTGACAACTGGCTGTATTTATAATAAGAACTGGATAAGAAAAGTCTTATTCATTTTAGTGTTATTCATATAGAAGCAAAGCATCATAGTCCCCTTTCTAAAATTCTACTACAGTTGGGAAATACCAGTGCTCTCATTTAATGGACAGAAAACCCAAGACAGAGATCAAACATGAGTTGCTCTGATACGCAGGAAGATGGACAGAAATGTGATGACGGAAATGATGCTGACCTGGCATTCCCACCATAAAGTACATTTTCCTTTTCTCCTTTAAAATGCCTTTCGGCTGTGTGGCTCTATCAACAAGAATAAATATCCTTAATCTTCTTTGTATCTCTAAATGCTTTGTAATAAAGGAAATCTACCCTTCTTGGCAAAAAACAAAGGCATGAGTAAAAACAGCAAGCCTGAAAGATAAGCATACAAATAAACCACTTTATTTAACTAAAGTCAGTAACTGTAAGTTCTGAGCTGGAGATTCAGCAAAAGTTCCTGTATTGCATGAAAACGACTCAAGTACAAATTATCTCTTCCGTAAGCAGCAAAAATATAAAAACTATACATGGGCATTCAGGAATGCAACTTTGAGAAAATGTATAAAATACATGTATCAACATTCTCCGTTAGATTTAGCATTATATTATGTATTCATTAAAATGGGTGAGGTCAGCATTTAACAAGAAATGTCAAAATGAAGAGAATGAATCCATATTTACAGACAGAGTCTCATGGCTTTTTGTGGGTGTTCATGTTTACTTAACTGTAGGTGTCCTAAATATATTTCTCCACATGCTCACAAGAACAAGGAGGCCATAGATTACACTTCAGAACAGAAAATACTCAGGATCTCCTTTTGCTTAGTAAAGCTGTTAAAATTTGTTCCCAGTGCCAAAACACCAGTGTTGCTGCAGTTCCAGCCATTTAGTTGGTGAGACAGAGCTGTTGTTCTGTTAATCACAAAAAGATTTACAGAATGACATTAATATTAAAACACATCAAAGACTGTCTCAAACCTGTCTTGTGGGCTTGCTTGGGTTTTTTTTTCTTTCGCGTTTTTTTTCTTTCACTTTTTTTTTTCTCTCCTGCATGAATGTTTTGGTCCCTGAATGGTTACCTTTTAAACAGAGAAAATCTGCTCTAGAACTGATGCAGAATGAAACTCATCTCTTCTGTAATATAATTTCATTTTACCCACCTTGTGCACTTTCAAATCCCTCCCTCTCCTTTCCAGCTCATCTTTCTCCCCTGAGGTAATGTCCCTGCATTGCGTAATACTAGACAACCCAGGAAGGTGATGAAGGACACAGTCTGACACGCTTTCATGTTCGTAAATTTTGATTTACACACTTGATTTAAAAAGTGTGCAGAGACAAACCTAGAACATCTGTCACACAGAAAATCAGCTGATCATTATGTACGAGTCTGGTGGCTTTAACTCAAATGTAGCTATCTACAAATAATAGAAGTACACCATCTTTTATATATGCAGCTGTTACCATTATGTTTTCACCTTTGTTTTTTCTATACTACACTTAAGGTGCTAGAAACTAAAGAGAAGACTGGTTCAAAAGTTAACGGCTAAGCATTGTGCAAGCACAGGATGTTCTCTAAGTGTATTTCAAAGTTCGGAGACTACCCCAGCAGGCTTAGAATTGACATTATTAAAAAAAAACAAACATCCATTTAGGTCCATATAAATCAAAATTTAAGTCCATATTCATAATAGCTTGCTGCTGTACCTTAGATTAATGGCATTTTGTTTTTTAATGTTCTAAAGGCATTTCTTCAATTTAATTATGATGCTCTCTTATAATAGTATTTTCTAAGGACATCCAGGTCAGGATGTAGAGTTTCTCCACTCTTCATCTGTTTCTAACTACTTTTTTAAAAAATATATCCATCAGGAAATAACTGTATTTTTGGCATCTTCTTGCATCTATTATGTGTAGTATTTTCCATGCTTCCTCACAGAGTAAATAACAATCACAGTGTACACAGCATCTGCTTTCCCAAATCATCTCCTCCCGCTGGCAACATCTCCTTCAGCTTCACTGAACTCATTTTGCTGTAACCTTATCCAAGCTAAAGATACTTCCATCGTGCCAATGCCTGCATGCAGTTGCTTCTCAGATTCCAAGTTACTGTTGTCATTTTTCTCACATGTCACTGCTCTAATGGTACAGAACTCTGAAAGAATGGAGACAGACTTCCAGTGCAGAAAGTTCTGTACTTTCCTGGCTCCCTTTTCTCCACAGCAAAAAACAGGCCACCTAAAATCAGAAGGGGACTGGGTGGAAAACAGTTGAGATATTGAAGTACAGTTCAGACTGAAGAACAGTTCAGATATTGAAGTAAGTGTCCTCAGACAAAGCAATGGCAGGTAAACTACCAGTGGGATTTTCTCTAAGCACATTCTGTTAATCTTTGAATCTTCATTTGTTGGTAGCATAGACAGTCCCCTGGGGAAAAATGAGTCACAGAAGCTGGTGAGAATTTATTTAAATAAATGACAAAAGGAAAAGAACAAATAAGTATCCTGAAATGATTTGTGTTGAGGTGCAAGGGAAAAAATGCTTTGTGGTACTCAGTTGTAGCAGGTGACAGAGTCCACATTAAATGTCAGCGCTGTCTTTTACTCACCTATCTGTTAGGAAGTAGATAAATCACCACCACATGTATTTATGAAAGCTCTTTTTTCTTCTGATCTTTTTACTGTCTTACAAGGAAACAAAATACTGTTTTTGTTCTACTTGGAAGGACAAACTACTCCTCAGGAAATGTCAAAAGATTCCCCACACTGGTATTGTTACAATTCCATACAAGCAACTCAAAGACCCAACACAGGCACTCCTCTCAAAACCTCTTCTCTTAGGTCTTACGAAGTCTCTTGCACTATCAGAGAAAGCTACACTTCCCTAAAACTGTTCCTGTTGAATGCCCTTTAGTAGGAACAAAATGGAAAACATTAAATCATCTCAGAAACACCTGAAAAATACAATAGCCCAGCAGGACCTTTAGATCCTGACTGATTGATTTTGTCTTGATGGTCTCTTACTGTAAGACGCATTTCAGTATATTACTATATTCAGAAGGAACCTTAGTCCTTTCAGTTGTGTTTAGTTTTTTTACTTGTAATTAATGTGTTCTCCAAGCACCTTTACCCCAAAAGCTTGTAGTTTCTAAGTAAAGAGAACAGAAAACTTATTGAATGAAGTGCTTCCCGCTGTGCAACTGAGATGAAAACCACATCTCCTTGCTATGCAGTTGACACACTTTCATATCCTCTTCTACTGCAGCTGCATCCTGGTGGCTTTGCCTTCTATTCCCAAAGATCTCAGAATAGGAACATATGTTTATGTAATCCTTATGCTTTATCCTGAAGCATTACTGGACCACAGAAAAGGAAAAAAGCGAGGAACATCTTTTAAGGGAGGCAACCCATGGATTATTATGATGACTAACGGTAACCTGGGCACTTGCACGGCAATTTTTGTGAGAAAAATTTGTTACATGTTGGGTTTTTTTTTGGCATCCATAACATTTGTAAGACACTCGTAAGCTTAATACTGGGACGCACACAGAAGAATAACCAAGCAGTCTTTGCCATATCTGTATCAAACACAGGGGTTTCAAATCTGTTTGGAGCTTAGGACAAGAGATCACACATTTCTTAATACACAGAAGCAATATATCTAACTATATGAAAGTTCTAAGTGTATCCTTTTATCATTTAATGTTAGATGATTTGGGTTTCCTGTACCAACAGAGATGGCCTCTCTAATGCTTGTTGTCTGACAAATTCATGAATTGTTTTCCCATACAGGGAAAGTAAATTATATTTCATCTCATTAAATCTACAGTGCAGAAGCATGTCTGAGTCCTTCTGCATCTTCTGTCCCAGTCTGGATG